TAATTATCAACTCTTTCGTTGTCAAGATCTCAGGGGTTCTCCCACCTCCGATGTAAATGCGCCTCTTACGTTCCGCAGTTAGGTGTAATAAACGGCAGATAATAGGATAGAAGTCGTTGTAAAATGTCGGGTAGAAGAAGGCTTTAAGTGAAGCTAAATGCATGTATTTCAGAGAGAACAAAGGGATTAAGTCTGAGATCGGCCCGAAGGCCAGTCCACGTGTTCAGGGGTCAGACAAATCTCAAAGTAATCACCAGACATCAGGTGGTCTCTCAAACAAAGCATTACAATCAAAACGTTTATTCATGGGCCCATTCAACCAGCCACGATGGATACGGTGGATACCCAGCATCACATTGTTTAAAGGTTCTACTTAAAAGAAAGGTATCCAGACCGACAGCAAATCTGACTGGAAGGCTAATAGCAGGTTAATGAGCCACGAGGTGGGGTCTGCCTTTGGGAGAAACGAGAAGGGAATTGACCAACTCTTTCTCTTTGTTCTGCCTAAAAGTCGCTGCATTAAAGCACAAAGAGTAGAAAGTTAGTCATCGTCATGAGGATATTGGTTCACGAAACGTCTATTATTTATCCTCGCTCCATCATCCTAATAACCATTCGCGTGGTCCGAAGGCAATCTCACGTGTACAAGGGCCAGACAAATCCTAAAATGACCGCCAAACGTCATGAGGTCACATTAACAAAGCAGTGCACTGCCTTTCTCTTCGTTTTAGCGACGTCCTCGGCGCTCCCCTTCGGTTCACCTCCTGCCCCAGCCATTACAACATACTCGGTACTACAAGAAAGCACCCACGAGCCAACCGCGTGAGTTGATAGCTACCGCCAAAACGAGGAAACGTACTTGATTTCCTCGGCAGCTTCAACTGCATCTGGAGTAACCTTCGGCTTGACAACCAGATTCGGGGCCGCATACATCTGTTTACCATCAAATGCTTCCAGGAACAGATGGTGCAACTCTGGTCCAAAACATATATGTGACAGAGAAAACAGGATGAGCTAATGTCCCGTATGTGTGGAGAACCGCAGTGCCATTTCAGATGCCTAAACACGGATTTTGCATGGGAAATTCGGATGCGAATTATTTCCATACGGTTCACGTCGGTGTTGCTTTAGTTGTTAATAGCTTATCTATATCACGGGAATAAGGTGTTATCAAATGCTGACTTCAGTCTAAATCCTTTCGTCGTGAAGGTATCAAGGGTTCTCCGTCACCAAGGTAAATGTGCATCCTTCAATTCACGTCCCCTTTTTGCCTGTATCTTCATCTATTGCACTTCGATAGAATCAGACTTCCTTTTACACATGTATAGCTCATGATTGCCGATACACAATGCTAAAATGCGCTTATCAAGTTTGAATTTCGCCACTAAAAAGCAGAGTTCCTTTGCAGTTCTGGTTGGATTATAACCTTCTTGTCATGAAAATAAAGGTTTCGAATTCCCGGCCATGGGAACCTGACTTTGGGGTCCAACAGATTATCAGGCTCATACATACTCAAACCCAGAGAATCAACACCAAGAAAAAGAGACATACATCTCCAGATCCTGTGCGATTTGTAGGTACTGAAGCATTGCATTATCCGATCGAACCATTGCTCGTCGGCTTGTTCGTACTGTTCTTTTCCAGGAATCAGTCGATTAATTGGCAAAGTTCAGCAACACAAATGCATAATGCAGTAAGACAGTGGTGTCTGTTGAGCAATAGATTCTTCCAGACACTATGTCGCTTTTAACAAACGACGAACAAAGAACAAGCCGCAGAGAGACCCCACCCGGGCTGGAGCATAAAGTCTTCAAAAGCACAATATACCTAAAAGTCGATAAAAACAATGTCGGGTTCGCTTCCCGCTGCCACCAAAGCAGCGTTCCGAGACCACCTGGCCCATATAAGGAGTCAGTAAGTGCAGCTGGATGCATATATTCCGAAGACGACTGAGCAAATGTGCCTGAGCATGGTCAGAAGTCCAGCCACCATGTACAAGGACAAGGTAAATCCTAAAGTGACTTCCAAACGTCATATGGTCACATAAACAAAGCATTACACTATCTTGCTTCTCTCTTTTAAAAATAAACTTAGACGTATTAGTACATTTACAAAGACCGAAGCGGACCCTTCCATATTGCAGCTTTTCGTAATTGAAAAGTTTATTAATTATTAATTTTATGCGGACCATGCTACTAGTACATGCCTTCTGCTAGCACCGCTTAAGGAGCACTGGTTTTCTATTTCTGTAATGTTTGCTTAAACGTCCATCTTTCATTGGTTAACGTAGTTGTTCTGTTATCGTCTTTGCTCTTCTAGCCTGTGCGCTTTTCCGCCATGGTAGGTTTGAGTCTCTAGATTCCTTTTTATTGCTTTCATTATTGTCTTTACTATTTCCATCGATATTGCTATTTTGTATGTGTATTCATACGCTACTGATGTGGATGCACATTTATGCGTGACGCAATTTTGATGCAATTTGAATTCTGAGGCCAATGTCATTTATGCTAAAGACGTTTTTAATCAACTCTCAGCTGTCTTAATTTCGTGTCTGGAATCACTCTTAACAAAATTACGACTATGAAGTTGTTATTTGGTAACTAGTATTTTTACTTTATTCATGGCTTTTTGTCTACTGTTTGTCTCGCTGCACTCGCCGTCTAGGTCAGACATCTCGTAGTTGTTAATAGGATGGAATCAAATGTGTATTTTGCAGGTATTTGAGGTTATGTCGGCTGGCAATGCGTTCATTTCAAGTCAACGGTTTTTCTATCTCACAGCAGCCAACAACAGCTATTGCTACAGTGGAATCGGAGGTGTCTTCACCGGTTCTGGGCGCGTCAGTAGCGGTATAAAACGTACCACGATGCCAGTATTCCAAGCTGGGTAATACGGCACTTTGGCCGATTTGCAGGCATATGCTGATGGAGCCAAATGCAGCTTACCGCAAGTAGCTGACTTATTTCCTGCCATTTAGACAACTTCCACTATCGTCGCGTTACGGAAGCGAAGTGGAGATGCTTACAAACTAAGGGTGTCTAGGTTGCAGCTGCAGACTGTTCTTGTTCCCTTAATTCTATGGTTATCATTTATCCATCTATCTACTCGCTACATCGAATGTTCAACCACTTTTCATTCACCTATCTTTCGTCCAATTACACTGTACTCGCCTAACCATCTATTCATTTGTGCTTTTCCGCTTTGTTTGCTTCATTTTTAAAACGTTGAATTGCTCTAAGGTCGTCCGAATTCGGTTTAAGCCAGATTCGTGTGCGGGCTTGTCATCCTGCGTTTGGCGACTGCCGAACATTCGGACACCAGGAAGTGGTGCCCTGAATCTGAGCAATCTCCTGATCAAGTCGAAATTGATCAGGTCGCCTAGCGCACTGAAAATATTAGCGTGTTTGCCTTTCTTTCAAATCTTTCTAAAAGCAATCACTCGATTTATATTCATTTCCTCACCATCTTCAGGCAACATCTTGCTTTGAGAACGCACTTAGTTGGGACTTTTAGTTTTAGGCAGGATCAATAAATGCTGCAACGCCCTTTTGATACATGAGTCATACCTTCCTACATGTAGTATTGACAAGAGTTAGTGATGCGGAAACACTAAAACCTCCTCCAACTTCTCGCGTATAGCCCCGGAGTTCTCACAGTTCGCATTCCCCATTTTCCCCCTTGATGTGCTCTCAGCGCATCACTTTTCGACCGGCAGATGGAGCCACGCTCATCCCCCCTTTCTCCCTCTATCCTAACCGCATTCCATTTTTCGACCCACTGTTGCTTATTTGTAAATGATTGGTTTCTGTGTTCTTCAAAAGGTGGTCGAGAACACTCCTCCCTCTGTCATTCAGCGATGCTTAACCATTCTCGAGCCAATGACAGCCTAATCAGACATTTTTAACTTTCTTAAGGTCAACTCTGACTATTAGTCAACTAACTGCTATTGCCGTTGTCGGCTGTGATGTAGTAATCAACCTCATTATCGTTTGTATCTAGTGCCTCATGTTCACTTTGAACCTCTTCACCCCATTGGTATTTATGGTCAACGGTCGCATCTACGATGGTATCCTCAAGACCTCCCCTGCTTAGCAACGTTATCTGTGTATACTAAGTACACCAAGCCTAATCCTACTACCGCACTGCATACGGTCAGCGCCATTAAAAACACCAAAGTCACATTCCCTCAAAACTTCACCGACTAGAAGACATTGCGACGGACGGGTTGACGCCAACGATAAAAGTCGATGCGAGGAAAGTTGGAGATTTGCAGCACCAGCGACTGATTGTGATCTGATCAGTACTTTAGAGTTGCCAATTGACTTATGATGTGGCTTTCGATATGACGTACTGACAACATGGCATAAGGTGGATTACAGATTGCATGGACGAACAGCTGCTGGCACGTCGATGAGGCGGTATCCGGAACGTGTGGTGTGGCTGCCGTTCTTATCGCTGCAGATCTCGGTGATCGGTGCGGAGGCCACCAACGGGTAAAAACGAGGATTGAGACGGCAGCGGTCCTCGACATATTTCTTCATTAATAGACGGCTCCAAAGGTGGTACAGTTCTCGACTTATTGTTCCCTGCAACACGTTACGCTAGACTAAGCTAAAATAGTCCTATTTTGCTTCGACTCGCGTTGCATTACGCTGCTGTATCTTTAGACGGAAATCCACGCCAAGCAAAATAGTTCTAGAGGTTAGATGCCGTAGAAAATGGCCCCTACGATATGATATCATACTAATCAGGTAGCATATAGTTGCGTCGCGACCAGATTCTTGTTATCGCCTGACAAGCTGCATCTCTAGAGGAGAAGTAGGGACGACAATGAAAGAGAACACCGCACTGGGGTGCGATGTGATGAGACACAGATTAGAACAATGATCGAAGGATTCTGGAGCGCATCAAAATGAAGACGTAATAAATCATAAGGCATGAAATATGAAAGTGGGTGAAAGTTCCCGCGGACGAGACCTCACTCCCTTCATAGGAATTGGTTAATGGAAGTGCTCGTACATCCGCCCTCGAATGCCGCAATGGGGTGAGCAGTAGTAACGGATGCAGACCGGTTTCACCTCACTCCTCACGCCCAATAAAGGGGAGTAGATGCGTTCGGTATAATCCAGCTCAATATACCCTACGTACCAGTCTGCTTCCGCACCACAAACTCGTCCACATCGGAAACAGCGACGCAAGACCGACAATTGCATCTCCACATTGCGAGGCAACTGCAAAACCAATGCGTGCAGCCTGCAAAAAGTAGGATGACAACCAGATAGCACACCTATAACCACACATTCGAATGCTTTAATAATTTAGCGCTGTGCCACTCACCACAAGCCACATCGCAGCTCAACAATGCACTCCAGAACATTAACTTATAAGTTAAAGAATATTCTCCAGGTGTTCATTTTAGGTAATCATATGAGACTCGCTAGTAGTTTTACTGCCTTCGAGTAGCCTTCCAGTTTTATGAACTCGCTCAGAACAGATCCAACATCAAGATCAGAAACTCAACGGCATACCAGCAGTCGCCTACGAGGCCAAAGCTAAAGTCCACAGGGCGTGGTACTAATGATCTTGGACTGTACATGATTCAACAGTAGCGACCTCTTGACTAATGACCATCAGATATTGCTCAGACTCTATCTTCAAATTAAAGTCACAACCCTATCAAAACTCTTAATGACACCGCCATGTGCCCCAAGTTCCATAATTTAATCCTCATTTCAACATCAAAGCAGTACCACAATCAGCTTCCAATCTAAGGACAGGTTCGGCATCCCTGACACTCCTTATTGTACACTTAGCGACCCGAAAGAAAAAAATATTCCGCATGCCCAGCCACTTACAAATGTCCGTAGTTTCGTAGAACCACCGCAGATGCGAAGTGAAAAAGACTTTTGGGAGCTTCGTTGCGCTCCACTGGCGGGAAAGGTTTCACCCAAGGATTACCGGAAAGACTTAGCATCCCCATTCTCCGGAATTGGGAGAGAGCATAAGGCAGACAGCGCAGCCTATTATTTTGCAGATGAAGATCTCTAAGCTTCTTCAGCCTCTGCAAGTTGGCTGCCGGCAATGCAGCCAAGTGGTTGTCTAAATGCGCCAATAGCGAGGTTGGAAGCGTTCTTTGAATTTCTCATTCAAGTACCCATTCGATAAGACAGATAAACACTACAGCATTTCAATTACCCGTTATAAGCAGGCTTTCCAGATTCTCCAGATTCCAGAAGTCATCAGGCAGCCACGCGATTCTGTTCCCTGATAAATTCAAATAACGCAGACTGATAGCAAGCGCGGAACCCTTCGAGACACTCGGCCAAGTTTCAATCAAATTTGATTTCAAGCAGAGGAGAGTCAGCCGTAAGCACTCCACATCCTTGGGAACTGACGAAATTCGACTAGCCTCTATGCTTAATGCAGACAAATTTGTCAACCGTAAGATACGGTTGTCAAATCTCCGAAGATTTATGTTCCTTATATCCAGACTCTCGAGTCGAGGCGGAAAAGGTCTGCCCAGAGGATAGTCACTCTGACTCTCAATAACAAGCTTGTAAATAACTGAGTTCTGCAAGATTCAAATTACAATATTTACATGCCTCGGCGAATCCACCAGCCAAAGTAGTTATGCATCGCATGTCAACCTTTTGCCGATTCTTAATAGCGCGAAGAAATTCACACAAATGAAGAGCCAACTCTGGTCTAACCTAAAATTGCAACTCGTAAACACCAGTAATTCACTTTAGAAAAGACGATGTCATAAGGAGGTTCAGCCAGACGCAATGTAAACTTGCCCTCTCGTGCGAATTTATCATACACTTTCACAACGTTCTCCTTAAGCTAAGGCTATAAATAAACATCAATCAAGTACCCCAAATTTTAAAGCCCGTTTGCTGCACAGAGGTATCAATGTTATGCAATAATTCGAACCGCATATGATAACCTCAGTTTTCCTAAATCTTCTGATTTTTCCATAAGACGAATTAGATGGATAGCAAATCGTTTCACAGCAAAAGCTCATGTCTAGCTGCGAAGACACTTGAAGACCGAGCGGTGATAGTTTAAAGTGGTGTCAATGCATCTAAACAAAAAATCCCTTTATAACCATTTGAAAGTAGTGCGTGAAGTAACTCATAATTTATGTTGTGCTCCTTTTAGATTTTACAAAAAGTAGACTGTTAATTTTTTGTTTTATGATTTTTATATATTTTTCAATCAAAGTATGTTTGTACAAAGATCCAGTGATTATCAAAGCATGATCAGCATGGCACTTAGCTTTAGTAACAACCTAAAAGTAAGTGTTGCTCTGTTCGTATATGGCTACGGATGCACAGATTTAGTCTTTTAAATTTACTTCAATATAATACAGCAGGTTGTTCAAATTTTGCCATTTGAGAGGTAGGAGGAAGGCGTATTAGGCATCTTGCAAATTGAATTCGATGACTTTCCCTTCCAATTATAATGCTTTGTTTATATGGCTGCCTGATGCTTGGCGTTCACTTCAGGATTTGTCTGACCCTTGTTCACCTGGGCTGGTCTTCGCATCACGCTTTGTCACGCTTTGTCGTCTTCGGATTACATATCTTCATAAGTTTTGCTATCAAATGGTATTTGTACGCTGTATTTGAATCGGTAAACTTGAATGCAAATGACTCAGTGTCCCAACACTCTCCATCAAGTGACAGGATGAATGGAAGCTGATCGAATACATGCTTTGAAACGGAAGAAATGGGATGGAGGTTTTTATTTGACCGGAACACCTAATTATCCGAAAGAATTAATGTGCGACCATTGGCAACTGCAACTCATTATGGGAGCCAAACTACAACTCAGCATTTCAGTGATAATTATAGCCCACTTAATGTCGTAAGTTCTTGTGCCAACCGTGATTTTGACTTTATTGTAGTGATTGGTATACGGTCCTAACCAAGATGTGGCGGCATATGCAAAGCGCAAGTAGGGATGGAGCGCGCTTTTCGCATGCTTTGTCAGTAGTTAGCAAACACTTCTCCCATCGATGTGTTTACCACTTGAATCAGATTAACCATTCCAAGCTTTCAGGATAATGAAATTAGGAGGGAGCAAAATTTAGACGCTGTTATAATCAGAAAAAGTTTTCGTATACACGAATTGTATAGGTTCTCCTTTTCTTAGATCCAAAGTCTACGATTATCATCCCTTCTATTCAAAGGAATCATTATAGTGTACCCATTAATCACAGATCTGAATACTCATTCGAAGTGCAATTGATTTTGCTCCTTTTCTGCAAAGTGGCAAACCATAAGACCTCCGCGTTAGGCATGTGCTTTTGCACAAATGATCGAACACTTGTGTTCTCGATCGATTTTTACGTGTTGCATGATCACCTCTTACCGTTTTCTTCAGCCTTGGGATGATTGATGTCTTGATCGTTGTCTTGCCCTATTGAAGCATCGGTGAAGGTTTATTTCCACCATCAGCCCTACGCAGAGCTGATGGACTCATTCCTTAACTTTTCCTCTTTTTATATTTGTCACGGTTATTGCTCGGAATTAAGGTACCATGTTATGCATAAGGAAAGGAATTGATATCCACTTGCCTGTTAAGACCTTTTTCAAAGGGTCTCATGGCTTTAGAAGTGCAGAAGCACCCTTGTTTTCCACAATAGGCGATACGGCTCTTAAGGAAAATTTACCGGCTTTGAAAATGTAGATTAAGGCACCATTATACTAGAAAATCCCACCTTCAGTGCCAAATCGGACGATCTATCCAATAAAAGCGAAAATTAGCACTCATATATAGGAAGAGCGTTACTAGTCTTGTGTATGGAAATGGTGAGGTCAAGGCTTGAGATACTTTTATGATGCAAAATTAAAGTGTGCTCAAATTCAAGCTCTCATATTGTGCGGAAACACAGTGTGTGCATATATGTTAGGATTTCGCTACAGGGTGCTGGGTGCATTGTTGTGGAATAGTCGAATGTGGATTACGAATGTCCTTTGCGGACGTCACAACGACATTCTGATGAGTTGTGGAAGCGGATCGACATGTGAAGTCAACGTCATAAGAAGGATTGGACATTGGGGAAAAGAAGGAACATTCACACCAATGTGAGCACATTGTCGTTTGGTGTGTCGCTCAGGCTCGAAGATTAGGTGTTGGACATATGTGCTCAAACCAAACACTTTTATATTTCCCAAATTTGATTTTTTTTTTACTTGCAATGCATGAACCACATGGTTGACTTTTTAAAGGCGTAATTTGCCTTGTTTAAACCAAATGACGGCGACGCCTTTTGCTAAGTTATATGCTGGACATCCGATTGTTACAGTCATTCGTAGTAAAGAACTTGAAAATTACTTAATTGTTACGCAACGGTTATTTATCCCTCTTAACCCTGGCCATTATGAAGTACCCTTAGGGAAATGTTCGTGCCCAAACTCCACAGTGACGCTATCGATTCACTTAAAATGAGAAGTTGTCTATTCCAAGGAACAAATCCATCCTCACCAAACTGGATGCCTTTGCCCGCATTAAGTGCGCAGAGGAGATGCAAGGAACTACATTCCTCAACCTAACTAAAAAATTGCTGTGTACAAATTGTGAGAGTAATGACAGTTACCTTATTACTTTGTCTATCGCCATGGCGTTCCGCCCCTAAATCAAAATATGGATCATGCAAGTTGATGTTCTGTCAATGCAAGTGAACATAATACGAAGGCAGTCCTTAAAGAAACCACTGAATTTGGGAGGTCACTAACGCCTGATCCTGTTTTGAACCTTAAATGATGACCGTCTTAACCTCCCTCATCTTCCCTTTATTCACTCCCTTTGCCCCAATGAGCCAAATCATAAAGCGGTAGAAGTTGGCAGAAATTCTTTATGATCAGGTCGATCATGAACATCAATAGAGCAGCCCATATGGCTTCATCTTCAAGAAATGAGACAATATATGACCAAGACTGGTAAGAGTAATGAAACTTTTTGATCTACTTGTCAATCTCAGTGTCCTTCCTTCAAAGTAACCTTACGAATGCAAGCTTTAAGTGCTCATCTGTTATAGGACCATTTTCTCAGCATTTGCATAGCCTGTTTAATCGCTTTACAGCAATCCTTCTCACGTAGTTAATGCGTTTCTGTACAACTGGTAAGGCATTTTTCTATCCCTGTTAAGCCTTTTCCTTCTACCTACTTCTACGACAGTGGATGCAATCGTTCCTCGGTGGTCGAACGAAAAAACGCAATTATATATCTGTAATAGATTAACTTTTTACTTTTTTTCCAAGCATATGCCATATGTTTCGAAACTTTTCCAAAATTTTGAGGTGTGTTCCAACAGACATGAATTCCGTTAGCGTGCGGAGACGGTGTTCACATGATTTAACATCCACGCCATTGAGACAAGTCCAAGCCAAACCTCATCGTTGACACATTCCGATTCGTTGTATGCTTTGATGACCAACCAAACCTCGCCCACCACTTACAATGCTCGTGTTTGCTTGCAGTGTTCCTTCTCATCTCGAATTGCACAATATAACAAGTCAACTGACATGGTGCATATGTAAAGCGACGATGTGCTACCAACACTAGCCACTATTGTGCCACTCGAATGCGGCATTGCCGTCATTATGCTACACGAGAGGCATTTGGACCGCTGTTCCAAATAACTGTTGATAGCGGAACACCTATATTCACCAGAAACTCAATTTTCCACGTGTCTTCTTTGCTCTTTTCTTGTGGCAGGCCTTTTATCTCATTTCAGCGATCATCCACAGGTAATGATTGGAAATGACTGCAGTTGAAAAGTTTATGCAATTTGTTTGTCGTTAACTAGCTTATTGGCTTAAGAGGGCCCAATTCCATCTCTTGAATTAAATTTCTTAAATTAGACTTGTCTGTGTAGTAGTTGTTGAAGGCTGTACCACTGTTTGTTTAAAATGAATACTGCGTGCAGAAGACACTAAAATTGGAGGGGCAGCAAAATGAATGCCATCAATCCATGTACCCATTGCTAGCAGCTTCCATCTTCCCCTCTTCCTGTTCTATGCCTTGGCTTTGGTAGCACTATTCTCAAAATTGACAAAATTGAGGGGTAGAATACAGATGGCTAAAAGAGCTATTCTCACACCACAAATAACAACAACTGCATCATACACTTAACATCCTTGCATGTGGTGTTGTATTCAGTTCCAATCTGTAGGGCATATCGTTCCGTGCTGCGATTTGATCTAAAGCTGCTCCTTCAACTGGGTCAGTAGTATCAAACAAACTCCACTTCTTTGCCTCCATCCGTTAGCTAACCGACCTCAACATAAAACAAAGCGTTAAATGTATGTGGAATGTACTAACAAAGCACAGCCCTTCATCAGAAGCAATGTTTAACAGGATTTGTAAAATGGAGCTTCAAAGCCTTACGTCAAACCTTTGTGGCTCGTTGTTCACGCAGTTCCTATTTAATAAAATAATGCAGAAGCAATTTTATGTTTGAGAAAACTCACCTACTTGTAAAATTGACCTTCATTTGGTTTTATGGATGCGCTCTTACACCTACCGCTTCTGCTCTCTTCTTGTGGAAGATAATTAGTTTACGAAAAGCTGTAGACGCAGTAGGAAAAGGGTGTAGTAGAAGGTAGCGGCGAATGACGGCTAAGGGGTTGAG